GTAAATTAAATGCGAGTTATCAATTATACGCCTATCAAAGAAACTCGATCGGTTCGGCCGACATACACACACACAAAGTCTTTTCAACTGTGTTCCGGCTTGCGTGTACGAAGCCACGATCAACTTCGCGCGCGCGCGCGCTGTTGTTATTGCGCGCATGAACTTGACGCGAGACGTAATAATCCGCGTCTTACGAGTTTGCGCACACTGTGACTCCGAAATTCATTTAAAATTTATTTTAAACCGTAACCACGAGATCTAATATGCAAAAGCAATTTTGACTGTATAAAGGGGCTAATGAGGGGTTGCAAAAATTATCCTCAGTGTCTCGATAATAAATTCCCTACTGTGCGTCGCCGCCACCGCGACACGTGGTACTCGGGGGTCTTTGTCTCTATTTCAAGTAACGCGTGTGCACGCACACACTGTTACCGGTAGCGAAATAAAATTGAACATGTTACGCTTTGTGTTTCCACCCCGCCATTAATCACGCGGAAGGGTTGGAGAGAGGATTGAGACAGGAATAAATGCACATTCGTAGGCCAGTCGTCGATGGTCGGCGGCTGGACCTCGTAACGAGTGATTTGAATTAACGTCAATTATTCGCTATCACTCCTCGCTTTCTCTCTTATTTTTATACACGCAAATAAAATATAACACGATTTGATGTTTTGTGTTATGTGTGTATGTACGATCGCGAATAAAGTTATACGAATAAATTATTATCCCGTCGCGGAAAAATCTTCCCGTCAATTTTCTCACACGAGACTGAAATATCAATAATTTTATATATTTTTACACAAATAACAAAAAAACACGCAGCAAAGATACAATATAAAAATATCTTTGCTATGTATTACACATTGTAGTTTTTGTTTTTTTTTTTTACATCTTCGCACAAGTCGCAATTTATTCGTAAATTTGAGAAACTTTCAAATTTCAAACAACGCTCGTTTAATACATTTTATTATCCGTCCGATTTTCGAATAATTCGATTTTAAATTGAATTCACAGATGGACGTTCGAATATTCGCATGGGAATAGAAGGGGAAGAGAATCGTGAGAGCGACGAAACTGGATGGGGAGAGGACAGAAGACTTCAGCCCTAAGCATACTTCGTTCGGCTTTTCGGGACGGATAAAATCGCCTGGTGCGTCGTCCGCCATGGCGAAACGCCGCTGGGTCACGCGCGCGACGCATCTCTCTCTCCTATGCGTCGCGGTAGGAGCTCGCGACGGCGACCGATCGATTTTACGGCAGCTTCTATTACTTTTCTCAGCGCGTGCACGTGTTCAGCAAGCGGCGGCGACGGCGGTGACGGCAACGTTGTGTATTCTTTTCGCTCGTTGCACACACCAATCAACCATAACGTTTTCCCGCAGCGAGATCCGAACACGTTCGGTTTTGCCTTACAAGAAATATATAAAGCGGCGACGGTAACTTTCGAAATTCGGTCCGTTAACTATAATCCGATAATTAATTAATTCGAAGCGTCAGCTTTCCGAGATTTTTAAACGCGATTTTAGATTCGCGAACGCGGAATTTTGTAAAAATTCAATGTCCTCAATTTCCGGTTTCATAAAAATTTGATTAAGTCTTGTTCGTGGAAAATTCAAGCCTGTAAATCTTATATAACATCTAAATGCTAACTTTTTGACCTCTTTTCTTTAAATAATTTTATTATTTATTCATATATCTGTTAAAATTAATTCATAAATTTAAGTTATATTGTTGTATTTGTATGATTTCTTTCTTTCTTTTTTTTTTATGATTGATTGTGAATTCTTCGCGTTTAAAAATGAAACAAACACGCGCATTTGGTATGCAATGTCCTTTTTAAGCCTGATTACAGAATAAATTGAAAAAAAAATGTGATGACCACGCGAATACGTGTACGCAGGATAATGTCCGATATCGCGTCGCACGATCTTCTGAGTAAATCGCGTGCTATTTTTAGCATATTGACAATTAGGAGTAGTTAAGCAAACCCGACCCAATTTGCAAATTTGCGCGCGCCGAACAAAGTGTGTACGTAAGTACAAGATATGAAAAATATGACCTCGACGATAAAGAAAAAACTATTATACACGTATAATATATTAATATTAATATAAAAAAAAAAATAACTGTATTGTTATATTTTTATATAATATATAGTATTAAAATATTAATAAAATATAATTTTGTATCATATTTATATATAATATTCCTTGTACATAACAAATTTTTATCAACAAGTAAATAATGAAAATCGTTTATTAATGCATAGTATAAAAATTCATTCGAATAGAGATCTAAATGAGTTGCAACAAGGATGTCAAGAATTTAACTCAATAAGCACTACAATTTATTAATAAAACAGGTTCTACTCTTATTTGTTGAGTTTTCTTCGCCTACAGAACAATTTATATTGTGTTGCATTTATATACATCACATTTTAGTTTTACTGTCGCAGTTTCAATCGTGTTCGATCAAAATTTCGCTCTTGCCAAGTCGTCGATAGTATTCGAAGACTCGATTATAAAACAATCGTGCAACGCGTATATCGGACTCGAGGTATCTCATTTTCATGATGTATTCGCTCGCGTATTTTCCCTCTCGAGTTGCGATCGCGTGTGATAAAAAAAAAAAAAAAAAAAGAAAGGAAAACAAAAAGAGAAAATTCGAAGAAAAAACGGAATTCTCGTGAATAAATTCGTCATAGAAATTTTTACGCGAAGAATCTGCCGTTGCAGCAAATAATTGCATACGAAATAGCTGTTGAAATTCTATTTCAGCTGCACGGGACGGACGGTGCATAGTTGGCCTATTATCACCCTTCCATGTCCTACTCACCACCTTCCAGCCGCCTATCGCGGCGGCTACCGCCATGGCCGCGACGTCGTTCGGCACGTAGGCACTTTGTACTCTCCGGTCGTGTGACACAAGAGACATCTATCGATTCTACGAGGCATGAGTTGGATTACACAGAACATACGTACCGATACAGTACGATATGTCGCATCAAAAGCGATTCATTAACCACAATGATAAATGATTAAAAGACTCTCTTCCTCCTTTCACTAGTTAATATATAATTTTTTTAGTGAATTTCACTAGAAAATTTTCTTTTTTCACAATAGAACAGTAAAAGGTAAAATTATTTCGACCGGAATCGATTCCAAAATGTAACATACTATCAAATAATAAAAGTTACGCAGAATCCAAAACAATTTATAATCAAATATTTGTTTTTTTTTTTTTGCACGTAAGTAGCGAATATTGTTTTCGAACACGCAACTTCTCTATAACTTCTCTTTCCATTTCTACAGTAAATATAAAAATTATGTTCGCGTGCAATTTCAGTTACGAGATACTTTGCTATTATTTTCTGTGTGCGTTGTAAAAAAAATTATAATTTATTGCAGTGGCATATTATATTCTTATTGACAGACGCATAGTATAATTTGACGGCCGTTTTACACGCGAGTGAAATCGCGACGAAGAGAAATTGTCACATTTCTGTGATCAAAATGTGAGATCTTGAGATTCGGTCGCAATGATATTTTCAATTTAATAACGATAAAAAGTTTGCGAAAATCCGAAAACACGTTTAAAAATCCTGTTAAAATTTCTCTCGATTGTAATATTAAGTTCTCCGAATGCTCGCGCAACGGGAGACAAAAGTTTTAACACACAACAAGTGTTTTGTCGATGCGTTTCCTAACAACGCACAAAATAATCGGAATTTACCGACCACTAGATACGAGCGCTTTATCAGCATCCGGAAAGAGCGATCTGTCGCGTTATGCGACCGTCGCACACACTTGTAATACTTGAAATTAAAATAGAAATACAAAGATGCGCGCGGAGAGGACGAGAACGATGAACCTTGTGAGTATACATCGTCCAAGGGCCGACGCCCCCTTCTCAAGGCGAGCAACTCTCACGAGAAAGAGAGAGAGAGATTATGGCATTTTTCTGACGCCATTTTTGACGTACGTCGATTGGGCCTTTTGCCCTTACCTCAGGGCTCTCGCCACATTTAAAATCACACGCAAGAAATAAAACGCATAACTTTATTGCTTATTCCCTATATAGATTATATGATGATTTGAGGATTACGATTCACATACTTTTCTCATAAAAGCAAACAGCTTTGCGGAATGTTTTCTACTTTGCAATCTACTTTTTACGAAAGATTGTGCTTCTTGGCACTAATACTAATACTTGAAGGCACAGATAGCATGCGACAAGTAATCAAAAGGAAAAAAGGTCTTTTACAACATTTCAAAAGGATAAATAAAAGCTAACAATTTTTGTTTTATAATTTCAATCTTGAGCAAAGATCTCATGTGTACTTTGCCGATATATATTTTTATATTTTAAATTTAATTTAGAATAAACTTGATTAATCGTACAATAAAAAAACTTAATGCTATAAGATTTTAATTTTGAAAAGGCAAGATACTGAAATTAATTAAAATATATATAAAAATAAAATGAAAACTTTGTATAATGAATAAATTAATATTACAAATAAGTATAATTTTTTTTTCTTCAAGATTTCTATAAAAAAAACTTGTAACATTATATAAAAACTTGTTAAAAACTCATATAAATATTATGTAAAATAACTTTGTTTAGAGCCAAATTAGTAACTGTTCTTGTAAAATATCTTTTGTTTGATTATTAAAAGATGTTGCGATCCTGAGATTCATCAATGAAAGTTAAAATTAATTAACACAAGGTCGACAATAACAAGATCTATCAAAAGAATCATATAAATTATTGAATTTACAAATTTAACATTTTGAGAAATCATTGCACGTCATATAAATATATACTTTTCATTTGAAGTTTGCTATACATTATAATAGATATTATGTAATCTGTTTTAACATTGTGGAGATTGCAACTAATAAAAAATATAAAATCTTTTTTTTCAATACTTTAATCTTCTATTAGTTAGCTATTTTTATAGTATATATAAAAATATTTTTATATTTCTGCGTATTACTTTCCATATTTTTTTAAATATAATTTATTAACTCTCAGAAATATATCATAATACCATGTAGTGTTTTTGGCACAATTTCCACAGAGAGTTAAAAAAAGAAATTTAGTTTAAAATCTAATATCTATTTTTTATAAGGTTATTTATTTATTGTGTATACTCACCACGCAAAGGCATTAAAGTGGAAGTAGACAAGACCTAGGCCATACAGGAATGAAGCATCTTTCCAATAATAATCACTTTTTAAGGAAAAAAATTTCTGATATGCAGACATTGCTGTGAAAAGAAATAAATTTATATCACAGTGAGTCTAATTTAAAATAGTTTAAAATAGTTTTTCACACACATACAAAGCTATATACCTTTGTTGTAATCTTCTAAAAGCAGATGAAAATGGCCCAGCTTGCAATATGTTTTTGGATCAATGCTTATTCCATTATCTTCATCCTTGTTCTCCTTAGATTTTTCAGGACTCTCTTTTATGCTATCTGCTTTTAGACGTTGTTTTTCAGTCTGAGCTTGAATCAGCATACGCTCCAGGTATTTGATAGCACGAACTACCAGAGCCTTCTTTTTGGTTTGCTCCGGAGAATTCAGTTTGAGAAAACCAAATTGACGACTGTACACATGTATACATATATATATAATTAAAACTCTTGTTGCATTTCCTATTATATACTATTGCCTAATTTTTTTTTTTGCTTTTTTTATAATTCTTAATATTTCACCACTTATTTTTATTAAAAATCTAAGGCAAAAGCTTTGGTGTTAAAAATTAATCAATTTTATTATGTTTTCTACTTTATTTACGTTTATATTTTGATTGGATTTTGACACTTCACCGATTGAGTTCTGATCGGATCAGAAAATAAAAAAAAAAACAAGTAATTTTTTTGTTTGGACCTTTGACACGACATGTTAGTCCAATCGTTGTGTAACTGCTTCTTCTTATCACAAAAAGTTTTACCAAACGTGAAGCCGGAAAAAAGTGTCGATTGCGCACTAACATAGTGGCGGATGACATGAGTTAGGTTATGACATAAGACACGAGATCGTAGAGACGAAACATCACGAAAAAATAAGGTCTCAATTGGAAGGAAAAGATAAATATTGCGCACGACAATAATCAGAATGTCACCTGTCTAGTTCTGACAGTGTCTGCAATTCCAGCGGCGTCAGGTTGATATCGTCGGTGTTCTGTGCCATTTTCCGCACACTCTCGACCTGAGAGAGATAACGCGTGACGCGCACCTTACTCGCATCCGCGGCACGCGTGAGAACAAAATCGTACGACGATTAATTCTCTAACCAGAATCGGTGAAAACCTCGCGCGAACGGCGACTATACACAGACACAGTCGCGCGACGCTGTCACCATGCCATACACAGATAGATAGTCCGATATCATTATATAGGCTCCGATATAATCCCTAAACTCTAAAAGCAGAGAGAAGCCTGAGAGCGGCCAGCCCCGTAAGAAAATGTGCAATCACCTTTCCGCTCCGTAAACCAGCGCATGTCCACGGGTGGTGAGAATTGGAACTACGCAGCCATGAGGAAGGTGACCATTTGGACTCGTGCACATAGCACAGAACAGAACCCGCACGCTGTGAACATAGCGCGGAATAGAACCATGTCCACATTTGGACTGCGTTCGAGGAGCACGCTATCTATCAGGGCTGTGTTCAGTTAAGCAAGATGGAACGAACTAATGCAGGAAATGCAGGAATTGAAACTAATGAAACTAATGAAACTAATGAAACTAATGAAAGAAGTGAAAATAGTGAAAAAAAAGAAGGTTGGCTCCCCTGATCTGTTGCGGAACATGTGTAGTGGCAAAATTGGAACCGAAACAATTCTTTAAGTTTCCATTCCGAAGAAAGTGAAAAAGGAAACGAGAGAAGGCGGCGCATACAAATTAAAAAAAAAAAAAAAATTGGAATTTATAGAATCGAACAAGGAAGCGTTAATTGTGACAGAAGATGGTGCTGTCTACAAAGTAACTTGTGAAAGTGACGAGGAAAAGAGACAATTATATAGACATAGGTTAGTCAGGGACATTAGAAAATTGCACACTACTGCTTCTGTTGTTGTGTGCTGGCTCATCTGGCTCTGCATATTCTTTTTTTTTTCTTTTAAAATCGAGTTCTTTTTTCGCATCAGTGTTTTCTGCTGTTCAATTACTTGCAAAACAATTAGCATGGGAAATAATGACCATCGTATTGTTAGTTACCATCGTTAGACCGCACCATCTTCTGTCACAATTAACACTTCCTTGTTCGATTCTATAAATTCCAATTTTTTTTTTTTTTTTTAATTATAATCCGTATGCGCCGCCTTCTCTCGTTTCCTTTTTTATTTTCTTCGGAATAAAAACTTAAAGAATTGTTTCGGTTCCAATTTTGCCACTACACATGTTCCGCAACAGATCAGGGGAGCCAACTTTCTTTTTTTTCACTATCTTCACTTCTTTCATTAGTTTCATTAGTTTCATTAGTTTCATTAGTTTCAATTCCTGCATTTCCTGCATTAGTTCGTTCCATCTTGCTTAACTGAACACAGCCCAGCGCTATTACGTCATTCTATCTTTGTTTTACATCTAATGAGCAATAAAGATAGAATGATGCAACAGAGCTGATAGCGCGCTCCCCGAACCCACCCTTAGAGGGCGAAAAAGTGATAACACATTTTTCGATGGACCTCCCCGCTCTCAGGCTTCTTTCTGCTTTCATGCTCTCGCTCAGTCATGAAAAATATGATGATTAGCAACTACACTGAAATTTAAGGTTGGAAATTCGAGATCTGAGAGCTGAAATTTGAGATTGGAGACGAGATCTAAGATTTGAGATTCACAGACTATGAATTTCGGACCTCAGGCTTCTCTCTGCTGCCAGTAAATTTTAGAAAGCGACCTCTGCGAACACAATACGAACTACGTAGCCTTGTCCGCGTACGAATCGATCCAGTGGATAAAATGGCGATCCGTGATCTTTGTTTGGTTCTGTTCTCTACTACAAAAAAATTGTACGTAGTTTTTTTAGTACGTTGCAAGTATATCAAATTACATCTCAGCAAACACAAAGTAACGGTAACGTAACATTAATGTTATAATTTCCCGCTCAACGATGTAACTGCAATGTAACATGCCTTTGTACGTAGCAGTTACATTGTTGAGTGGGAAATTATAACATTAATGTTACGTAACTGTTACTTTGTGTTTGCTGGGATTATATAATCAAATTACGATATATACATATCTGTGTATTGTACTTAAATTTATAAAACTCGGTTTTACAAAGTGAATTATTATTTTTTTTTGCAAAAAAAAATAATAATAATTCATGAAACGTCAAAAAAACAAATATAATCAGTTATTGCTTTTTATTTTGTGATTACTTTTTTTAATTGTTATTTGCTTCCAATTTGTTTACTCACACCGAGAAGTTCTATATGTGTATACATTGTGATAAAGCTTCTGTGTGTAACTTTTATCGTGCGAAGCAATGGATATTATCGCATCTTGAGAATACACTACAGGTTTCGTACGTTTTTGCACATATATTGCGATAAGATTAATTTTTTTTTTTATTCTTTTAGAAGTAGCAGTGAAGTCAAGAAAGTTATCGTGTTATATATTAAACAGCTCGTGCATGTAAAATACATTCTGTTCTGAGTTGTTCTTCGATTTTACGGCGGGTTTTGGTCGCATTATTGAAACGGAAATGTATCAAATAGATACGAGCCAAGTGCAAGCTCCGAAAAATATTATCGTGGATTGTGACGCTGGTATAGACGACGCTTTGGCCCTGCTTCTTTTTCTTCCTCATCACAAAGCAAAGACAATTAATATTAAAGCTATAACTTGTGTTAACGGCAATACCGGTGTAAATAATGTCGTGAAGAATGTTTTCAGAACGTTGCAAGTGTGTGAAGTTTCGGATGTGAGTATACATATATATTTCTTTTTTTATATTATTTATGCAAAAATTAGAATTTTTCAGAGAAAATTTCATTTAATTCCATTAAATTAATTTGTAATTAAAAATTTAATTATGTATTTAATTATTTTCTACGCAATCACACATTTGTTACACGTGATTACACGTGTAACACACTTCTTTGTTTTAAATAATTTTACGTATAAAATTGGTAAAAAAAAAAATAGGTATGTACAAATAAAAACTACATATATATATATATTTCTGTAGATACCGGTTTATCGAGGAGCGTACTCGTCTTTGTTAGATACTCCAAATGCCACGCAAACGGCATCCGAGCAGTATCACGGAACTGACGGATTTGGAGACGCGTATACCGACGAAACGGACACGAGTGAATTACAAAAGGAACATGCTGTATACGCTCTACACAAGATTACTTCGGAAAATCCTAGTAACGCGATATTTTCTCACATACAGGTTTTTATTTGCGTAATATTTAACAGATATTAATTTGAAATATGTAATTTTTTGTAATTAGATAATGTTTCTGTGGTTTGCCTCGGTCCCTTGACGAACATAGCGTTGACCATAAAGATGTACCCAGAATTCTTAGACAATGTGAAGGAGTTTTGGATGATGGGTGGAAATCTAGCTGGTAAAACTTTGACCGAGATATAAATTCACTGATTTTAACTTGTAAACTCTTTTAGCTCTTTTGTTTAAATTTTTATTTTTATCGTCAAGGAAAAGGAAACGTAACCGCACAAGCGGAATTTAATTTCTACGCGGATCCGGAAAGCGTGCACGTAGTGCTCAACAGGAACGTTAAACCTCTGTGGCTTTTGCCGTGGGAAACTTGTTTAAAATCCGATATTTCACATGTACGCGCAAGTTTATGCACGTGACTATTGCGCGAATTTGGTCGAAATTAAAAATATTTTTTTACAGGAGTGGCGAAAAGACGAAATAGGTAAAATAGATCACCCTTTTGTCCGCATGATGAACCAAATCGAGGACGCGAGACGCGCACGAACGAAGAAACGTTTCGCTAATTATATAATGTGCGACGCTTTTTTAGCCGCGATCGTCTTGTTTCCTCAAGTTGCCAAAACGGTAGTCTCGTGGCACGCCGACATCGAATTGTTCGGCACGAAAACTCGGGGCCAAGTGGTTCTCGATCATCTGTTCACGAACAAACCAAATGTGAATTTAATACAAGAGTTTTGTTCGGAATCGTTTAAGAAGACGTTAATTGACGCTGTGCGGTTACTGACATCATCGACTGTCAGTTTGTAATTTTGCAAACCAGAGTCTATCAGATGTGTATAATATTGAAATTCACAACTAAAAAATCAATAAACGATATGTGTATATAACCAAAAAAAAAAACTCACATTTTGTCATTGTCACTGTATAGAAAGTTTTCTGAAAAATGTATCTATTTAAAAACTACTAGACAATGTTTGAGAGCCAACATTTGCGTGATTTTCTTTAGTTACGTGTGTTTTCTTGTTTAATAAAAAATAAAAAAGAGAACACAGATTAAAGTGAGAAAAGTTATACGTCAATCGGTTAATGATTGGATTTCATTGCTTACATGAAGTTGCATCTTCACATTTAGGCATTACTTGTGCAACTTCTCGTAAATACTAATAGAATCTAGTATTGTATTGCAGTAAGAATTGATGTGTATTTTTAAGATATTGAGAAGTAGAAATTAAAAACATGGATTTAATGTCTTTTATACCAGAGTTTGTGATAAAGCCAACAGTGCAAGTAAGTGAACCGTCTAAGTCTCGCCATGTGAAAAATACGTTTCAATTTTCTTGCCGACAGAAAACGGAATTCTCTGATAGAATAGGTTTTTTTTTTTACTATTTTCTCTTTCTTTCCGAACAAAAATACTGACAATTAAAAATATTGAAGCGCGAGATCATACATACACCACCCATAGAACATGTTTGCACCGCGCTGCCGAGAGAAGATCCATTAATGAAAGTGATCCCCGGCAGTTCTGTTTGGTCGCGTTTACGACGTTGGATCGTTCGAACGCGCATGGCATCGCGGAAATATTTGCTCAGACGATGGGTCTTGAAAAGCAGCCTTGAAATCAATTACGAAATCAATCGGCATTTTGACACCCATCCCCTTATGATACATCCTTACAGTTCCTTCAGGTTGGTTCTATCTTTTTTTTTTTTTTAAGTATTGCGGTTTTTCATGTATGTATAAATACGTAGATACGAATATCATTGATCACATCTACGTTAAAGTATAAATTTTGAAAATAATATTTCTTGTCCTTTTTCATACTCAGAATATTCTGGGAGTCCTTTATGACGTTGTTTATTATAGCGGCTTTGTTAGTGACGCCGGTTTTTCTTGCTTTTTACTTTGACGAATATGAGAAGTGGTACATTTTTAATCACGCGATTGACGCCGTGTTCATATGCGACATAGTGTTCTACTTCTTCACCGGTTACTACGATCCTCGCACGCACTGGATAGACTTTAACCCGAAGGTCGTAGCAAAGTACGCAAAAAAAATGACACATAAGTGGACAATTGTAGGTTTTACATGTTATATTGTATATTATTTGCGTTGTATCGGATGATAAAACTAATACACAATGTGTTAATAATCAATTAAAAAAAAAAAAAAAACAGATTGTCGCAGGATTTAGTAAGACATTTTGAAAACATTTCTCTCTAATTAATTCATTGCAGCACTTATCTGCGGGGATTTTTCATTGTGGATATAATATCCGTGCTACCGTTAGAATTTCTCATTGTGTTCAATAAATCATTGTGGTACCTGGCGTCGCTGAACTTGCTAAAAATACTGTGGATGCGAACTGTCGTTATGTACTCGCGCAAACTCTATTATGTCAGAATTTTATTTTTCTTTTCTCGTGACACACACACACACACACACACAGAGCCGTGATAATACAAATGTAAACCTTCAAATTCCAGGCACACCGAATAAATTTTTATCTGTTCAAAATAGCAGAGATAGGAATTATTATCGTCCTGTGTGTACATTGGGCCGCTTGTCTAGAGTATTACCTGCCATTGATAGTTGGCAAAATATTTGGACCAAATGAGAAGTCAGTATAATTATTAATATGAAATTTATATTTAAACACTTAAAGTTCTACCAGAAAAAGCGTGTAACATTAAATAATATATATGATATAAATAATATATTAAATAATATATATTATACATATAATTTATTATATATTTATAATGTTATACTTTATATTATATATTATATATATTATATACATACTACCGTAAAGTCACTGACCACGACCGCGCGGCCTTGGCGGAGTCACTGACCTCGGCCGCGCGGCCTTGGCAGGGCACTGACCTCGGCCGCGCGGCCTTGGTGGGGGTGGGGTCACTGACCGCGAGCGCGCGGCCTTAGTGGGGGGAGGGTCACTGACCTCGGCCGCGCGGCCTTGACAGGGCACTGACCTCGGCCGTGCGGCCTTGGTGGGGG